TTTTTTATATTTAAAGAATTTGCCACTGATGATTCAAACGCGAGTTTAAGCAGTGTAGAGTAGCGCTTATTGTTTGTCATTTCTCTGATCACAAATGCAGACATGGTTTTGTGTTTACGTGGCGCAATACGTAAAAACACAGTTTAAGTCATTATCAGTAATTATGTCCCCACTGGATGCAACAAATGCCTCATTTGTAATGGGTTTTGTCTTGTCGCACCGGGACACATGGAAACCATACTGTATGATTGAAACAGTATGGTAAGGTGCGTAACATTTCTGTCACACGCTTGAGGTATTCAGCCAATCATAACGCACTGGATAGCTAGCCAATCAGAGCACACCTCGCTTCCTCCGAATGAAGAGCTTTATAAAAATTAACGCGTTTCAGAAAGGCAGGGCATAGAGGAGAAACAATAATGTACATTGTGGAAAATGTGTTTTTTAACCTTAAACCGCATAAACACATTGCATTACACCAAATACAATGTTCTTTTTAGCAATGTCATATGACCCCTTTAAGGCAACGAGTTTGAGACTTGCTTTGTGAACTTGCAATAAGTGAATGGATGTGTCACACGTACTTTAAATGTTTGGACTACTGAACTAATGAAATTAACTATTTCTGTTTGTTTTGGAATACAAAAAACACAGAATATTCCAAACACTTTCTCTTTGTTCCAGATCCCAATCAGACATGGCAGTGGAATCACTAGCTGCAGAGATTCTGAAGGGCACCGGGTCCCAGGCAGAACTCAGATCCACAGAACAGAGTTCCACGCCTGGTATTTAATGTGGATATATATTCATACTTTTCATTTGTATGTTACTATGACTTAGTCTCTTGCAAAATGTAATTTATGTTGAACTCTTGTGATAGTGATTGTAAAATATACTCTGTAATTCTAGAATGATTGTACCACTTAGTTCACATTGTGTATTTCAAAAAATAAAAATGTCCACAATTGGATAAATTTAAAGTCCATTTTATTGTTTAGCCAGGTCATTACCAAGTCTCCAACCAACAATTGCAGGCTACAATAATTAGGGGTTCTTTTCAAAACCTTTCTAAAGCTACCATCAAAAAAATAGATCAAGACGAGGAGGAAAAAAAGTCAAAACTGGCCCCAACTGGATGCAAACCCTTTGGAACATTTGTGATTTCTTTAAAGCAAGAGAACTGATATTTGGACTTCTCCAATTCTTGGTTTTATACAAAAGCTACACAATGTTACAATTCAACTGATTAATTAGTGTTCTACACCATAAACTCTTGATGGATCATTACCACTATAACTCAACACTATGAGAGAGAAAAAGAGACAGTCGAAAGGAATACAAAGTTCTGCAAAA